TGCCTTCCCAGGAACCTGGCATCCACGGGGATGCTTGGACTGTTCATATCCAGTGTGGCAAGTCTCTTCAGGTTCTTTCTGGAACAGCTTCTGCAAAGTGCTCTAGCCAAGGGTTAGGTGAGAAACAGCTTTACACTTGGATGTCTGAGCCGCATCGCCGGTGGAGTATGGCACAGCCAGCCAGCTTACCGGTGACGACGGATGGCATCTGGGAGCTTGGTAGACCAGTCTCCACCAGAACTCACAGGCTAGGCTTCTCACGTTGACTGGTTTAAAGCTGGCTCTGGGAACCTTTTGCTTGCTTTCCTGTAAACACCAGACTCTTACACAGGGCCAGGATTCCTACTCACATTCCAGTTCAGTTTTCTAATGGTGTTGTTCCTCGATCCCTCTATTTGAGGCTGTGCCCTAGGCGCCCCTCACATACAGTTTCATTGACTCCTTGCCCTATAATGACAATCATTTGGAGCATCTGTCGTGTGGGCTCTGAACCAGGCTGACACCATTTCTGACGTTCATTACCTGAGAATCTACTTAATTGCTCTGTGCCTCGGTGTCTTTGTCTGTGAGGTAGGGACCCTAATCAGATCCCCTGTAGATGTGAGGACTAGAGTGAGTCACAGACAGAGCACAGCACCCTGCCTGCTGCACAATAGGCTTTGAAGAGGAGTCTGTGAAGTCTCAGAGTTTACAGCGTCTCCCCCATGGTACACGCAGGAGGAGCCAAGTGGAACTTTGCTATCTCCGTGTATTCCGTGTGCTCTGAAACCTGACGTGCTCTGCCTGGTCCTCTGAAACATTCTTTCCTGCCATGTAAATGACCTTGAGAAAGTCCATGCTATTTGTCTAGAATATGGATTCTAGGTGTTTTTTCCCCCTCATAACCAAGAGTCAGCTTCTGGAGTCTGTCATTGTGTCCACACCTAAGCAGGGATCTGGTCATCATTCAACATTCGGTATGTGTCTGGACACTCCCCTACACAGCGTGCTGTTGTGTGTTCTTGCTTTTGCCTTTCTAAAGAGAACATTCTAAAAAGAATATTCTAGGATATTTTTGTTCTTTTGTTTGTAGGCAGGCTAGTCTAGAAGGCGTGACCCTCTCCCTCAGCCTCCTGGGTGCTGAGATTATAGTTGTAAGCTGCCATACCCAGTCCGAGGCTAATTTTTAACTTCTTCTTCTTCTTCTTCTTCTTCTTCTTCTTCTTCTTCTTCTTCTTCTTCTTCTTCTTCTTCTTTCTCTCTCTCTCTCTCTCTCTCTCTCTCTCTTTTGAGACAGGATTTCTCTGTAGTTTTGGTTAATTTCTTCACATTGCAATTAGAGGAACCAATGTATCACTCCAAATGGACACTAGGAAAACCTTTGTGATAAGGCACTCTTGGCAGGCTAACTCGCAAGCATCGAAGCACAAAGTAAACAAGATAAATAAATAGAAGGAAACCCTATCCAAAGACAGATTTTGAGTTCTTTATGACATTTATTTGTGTAGGCAGGGGAGCGGGCTGTGTGCAGAGGTTAGGGGACAGCCCACAGGGTGTGGGCTTCTACATATAGGTCCCAGGGATCAAACTCAGATCATCAGGCTTGGTGCCAAATGCCTTACCCACTGAACCATCTCACCAGTTTCTCAACGATATTAAAAAACAAACAAACTGAGTAAACATGCCTTTAAAAATTACTAGAATTCAAATAAAAATTAGTCTGAGTTTTCACCGGAATTTGAATCAGAGGTGATATCTCATTTCGAGAGCTATTGCAGTGTTCTGGACATAGGGCGAAGTTCCTTACTGAAGATGGGCACGGTGTGGTGCCTGCCTGTGGACTCTCAGCACTGACGAGGCTGAGGCAGGAGGAATATGAGTTCAAAGCCAAACTGGACGCCAGGTGGAAGTGTCTACACTAACTGCTTTTCTGTTTCTGTGATAACATTACCAAGGCAACTTGAAAAAAATATATATATATATATATATATTTTGGGCTTATAGTTCCAGAGGGCTAGAATCCATGATGGCTGGGACAGTGTGGCAGCAGGCAGCAGTCTAGGCGTCTGGAATAGCAGGCTGGGAGCTCACATCTTGAACCGTAAACACTAAGCAGCTAGGAGACAGGAAGTAAGGCAAGACCTTAAGCTCTCAAAGCCCTTCCCCGGAGGAAGCGGCATACTTCCGCCAGCAAGGCCACACCCACTAAACTGCAGCAGACAGACCTCCAGCTGGGGACTGACTATGAGGACATTTCTCATTCAAGCCACCATAGTATCGAGTCTATATTGGCTCATTGATTGTGGTAAAATTAATGCCATCATTAGGATTCCCAGTCACAGGTAAGGAAAGTGATTCACACAATAGCTAAGTGTCCTCCTAAGTCAAACAATTAGGAAGGGTTGACTAGGGCTCAACCACGCCGCCTGACTGCAGGGACCCCCTCCAACTCTGACCACCCCATTGCTCTTGTTATAGCAAATGAGCCAAAAGAGGGCTGTTTTGGCTAAGTTGCAAATACATATCTTTATTTTATGTGTCGGTATAACTGATTTGAGGTTCTTTCTTTTTTTTTCTTTTTGAGGCAAAGTCTCATTCTATATGTTGACCTCAAACCTACAATCCTCTTGCCTCTGCATTGTGAGTACTGGAATTACAGATGTGTGACATCATACTTAGCTTTCTTTTTTCTTTCTTTTTCTTTCTTTCTTTCTTTCTTTCTTTCTTTCTTTCTTTCTTTCTTTCTTTCTTTCTCTCTCTCTCTCTCTCACTCTCTCTTAAATTTGTGATACTGGGTATTGTACCTAGGGCCTCTCATGCCTGTTAGTCAAGCACTGTCCAATGGCCTGTACATCCTTAGTCACTTGAATTAATCTTGAATTTTCCCTGAATAGTCTCACGCACAATTCATAATTCAACATTCAAAAAATAAACAGTGTTCCTGGTTCTAGTTTAATGATGAAACCTTAGGCTATCATTATTAAAGTGACATTTTTACAAAGCATGAGAATGTGTTGGGATGTTTCTAAAATATGAAGCAGCGAAGAGGAAGAAGCCATGCCTCAGACAGTAGCCCACAAAATAGGGGAAAGGTGGGGAAAGTTTTATGGTGACTGTCATTAGGGGACACTTAGCTATGACCCTTGTTTCTTTTTCATTATTATTTTATTTTATGTGTCTGAGTGTTTTGCCTGCATGTATGTCTGTGTACCATGTGCATGCCTGGTGCCCACAGAGGTCAGAAGAGGGGGTTTTGGATCTAGAACTGGAGCTGTAAACAGTTGTGAACCGCCATATGGGTGCTGAGAATCAAATGTGGATCCTTTAGAAGAGCAGCCGGTGCTTTTAACTGCTGAGCCATCTCTCCAGCCATTTCTTGACTTTTCTATAGAATTCATTTGTCCAATAGCAAGATAGATTTCACTGTTTAAAAGTTCATTCAGAGCCAGCCAGTGGTGATAACACATGCCTTTAATACCAGCACATGGGAAGCAGAGGCTGGCTGACCTCTATGAGTTCTAGGCCAGCCTGGTCTACAAAGTGAGTTCCAGGATAGCCAGGGCTACATAACCTTTCCATTACACAGGCATTGTATGCAACTTTTAATGGCATCATTACACTATGCTCTCTGAATGAAAGTAGACACCATTCAGCTCACGCCACCCATGGCTACTTAATTTAAGTAAAAATTTTAATTTAGTTTCTTACCCCCATTTAAGCTCTATTAGTCACAGGTGGCTAGTGACAGCTTTCCTATCACCTCCTCCAAAATTGTATTGAGTCAGGTGTGGTTGCTCTTACCTTTATTCCCAGAACTCGGGGGGGGGGGGGGGGGCTGAGGCAGGAAGGTTGTGAGTTCAAGGCCACACTTAGCTACTTATGAAGACTTGCTCTTTAACACAGAACAAAATAAAACCAGAAGTTTGGCTTGGTTGACGGTTCACATCTGCAGTCCCAGCACTCAGAAGGCTGGGGTAGAATTGCCATGAGACCCCAACCTGCCCAGGCTACAGAATGAGTTCCAGGTCATCTAAGGCTAGCATGAGTGAGACCCTGCCTAAATAAATAAATGTTGTTTTGCACAGCACAGCTGTGAAGAAAGACTATGGAACCTGGAGCCAAACGCCTAGGTTCCTGTGTGAACTGGAGCAATTTACACAACGTTTGAGTCTCTTGGCCCACAAGCAAGCTGGGATGAATGTCAGTTACTGTGTACAAAGGCTGAGAAGATGAGCTAAGAACGCAGATAGATGACAGTTCTTTGAAACCCGTGGTGTCTTTTCCCATAGAAATATTGCTCCACAGCTTCCTGAGTTAACCTGACTCTTTATGGACTGAGTCCAAATCTGCAAATGATTCTTACCAAGATTTTGCCTGAATATTGTAAAAGCCTGACTAGTTACTAGGCCAACTCCACAGCAGCGGAACCATCCCATTTCCTGTTGAAAACTTCAGTGCACACAGCCCAGTAACCACCTTGCAGGAAAACATCATCTTGAAGTTTCCTCTAATAATCACATTGCTCTAGATCTGGAGACATAGAGCTCAGTGGCAGAATGCTTGCCTAGAACACCCAAAGCCCTAGGTTCCACCCCCAACCACTCACGCACCACAGTGGGGGACGATTATGTCATTCAGTTTCAGGATGTCATTAGTACAGTGAAAAGGTCTGCCTTTGAAAAAATAAAAAGACTGTGTACACCAAAGAAATAAATGAGATTTGCAGAATATATATAGCGAAATGAAATCAGAGTTGGCAGTGCCAGGGTGAAAGAAAAAGTCATTGCTTGCTTGCTGCAGGAACTAGGATTTCCCCCGCTAAGATCACAGCAGGTTCTCACAGCTTGACTATTTCAAGACCACCTGCATTTCCACAGCCGCCTCCTCCATCTACTATCTCAGTTCAGCACCCCATGACCTGCCTGTTCACAAGCATGCCTCCTCGAAGAGTGTGAGCAGAAACAAAAGGACCCAGTCCTTGCCTGCTTCCCGACTCACACTCCCCCTTTCTCTTTTTGCAGGTTTCTGCCAGCCGTGGATGCCTTTGACAGCATGACCGCGGAGGATTCCACCACAGCCATGAACAGCGACCCAACAGTGGGATCTTCCTCCAAGGTGCCAGAGGGCGTGGCGGGCGCGCCCAATGAGGCTGCCCTGTTGGCACTGATGGAGCGCACCGGCTACAGCATGGTCCAGGAGAACGGGCAGCGCAAGTATGGGGGACCCCCACCGGGCTGGGAGGGCCCGCATCCCCAGCGAGGCTGCGAGGTCTTCGTGGGCAAGATCCCGCGGGATGTGTATGAAGATGAGCTGGTGCCTGTGTTTGAGACGGTGGGTCGCATCTACGAGCTGCGACTCATGATGGATTTCGACGGCAAGAACCGCGGCTATGCCTTCGTCATGTACTGCCACAAGAATGAAGCCAAGCGAGCTGTTCGTGAGCTCAACAACTATGAGATCCGCCCGGGCCGCCTGCTGGGCGTCTGCTGCAGCGTGGACAACTGCCGCCTCTTCATCGGTGGCATCCCCAAGATGAAGAAGCGAGGGGAGATCCTGGAGGAGATCGCCAAGGTCACCGAGGGCGTGCTCAACGTGATCGTGTACGCCAGCGCGGCAGACAAGATGAAAAACCGAGGCTTCGCCTTCGTGGAGTATGAGAGCCATCGCGCCGCCGCCATGGCGCGCCGCAAGCTCATGCCGGGCCGCATCCAACTGTGGGGCCACCAGATCGCCGTGGATTGGGCCGAGCCGGAGATCGACGTGGACGAGGACGTGATGCAGACGGTGAAGATCCTCTACGTGCGCAACCTCATGATCGAGACCACTGAGGAGACCATCAAGAGGAGCTTCGGCCAGTTCAACCCAGGCTGCGTGGAGCGGGTCAAGAAGATCCGCGATTACGCCTTCGTGCACTTCACTAGCCGCGAGGACGCCGTGCACGCCATGAACAACCTCAATGGCACAGAGCTGGAGGGCTCCTGCTTGGAGGTCACGCTGGCCAAGCCTGTGGACAAGGAGCAGTACTCCCGCTACCAGAAGGCAGCCAAGGGCGGCGGAGGCTCAGCGGAGGCGGTAGCCCAGCAGCCCAGCTACGTGTACTCCTGCGACCCCTACACGTTGGCCTACTACGGCTACCCTTACAACGCGCTCATCGGGCCCAACAGGGACTACTTCGTAAAAAGTTAGTGGAGACTCTTCTCTTGAGGGCCCCCTGGGTGTCCCGCCCCCATAGGCAGGGGTGTCAGACTGAGCGTGGCTGCAGTTTACTAGGTCCTCCCCACTGAGGTTGAGGTTCTAAGTGCTGACTCACAGTCGCTATTGTAGTATGGAGAGAAACATCCCTCTGGGCGATCAGTCAAATCATTGGGACACTTTGTCCCTTGTTAATGGCCTAACCCATGTGGAGCAGCTCTGCCTATCCCTTGGAGCTTAAGTTAAATTCTGCTTCTGAGCCCCGGCATGGAGGTGACAGGATGAGGGAAGAGGATTCCCCGTCTGAGGGCAGCCTGGGTTACTGCTTCCGAAGCTGTATCTTAAGGTGTTGGTTTGGCGAAGTCGTGGTTCCTTAAGATCACTGAGGACAGAGGACCAAGCATGACGCACTAGAAAACATAGCCTAGGTTCAAGGGCCCCGCTGTCTGTCCACAGGCCTTTTCTCTTCAGCCCGAAACAGGGAAGGAGGTAGGCATATCCCTTTCCAGATCTAACTTTTTTACGCTCTATCGCTGAAGTTGCCATTACAACCCTGGGAACTCACCTTGCCCTAAGCAGGCAGATTAGAACGATGGCGTATACCAAAATGGAATGCCTGAAGCATCTTATTAGCCCAGTCAGGCCGGAGCTGTGGCCACCTGCCACTTAGACAGAGGGCAGACCACCACAGGCCCCCCGATCTGTCCCTGTTGCTGGCTCATGCTTTTTTTGTGTTGTATTATAAGCAGGCAGCATAAGAGGCCGAGGGCGAGGTGCAGCTGGAAACAGAGCCCCGGGGCCCAGGGGTTCCTACCTCGGAGGATACTCTGCTGGCCGTGGTATATATAGCCGATATCACGAAGGCAAAGGCAAACAGCAAGAAAAAGGATATGAGCTTGTGCCAAATTTGGAAATCTCTACTGTCAACCCAGTTGCCATTAAACCTGGCACAGGTCAGTATAAACCAAGGCAAACGCATCCTTTGGCCCTGAACCCCAACCCTCTCTTTCAAGTGAGTCCAGTCTTCCTGGCTCTTAAACCCATCATCTGCACATGGATTCTTTTCCCCTTCTGCAAAAAAGAAGGTCTATGTATCATGCCTCCCGCCCCCACCCCCCACGCCCTGACCTTCTATAATTTAGGGGAATGGTCTAGTTTGGGCCTCATTCACATTAAGTTGTCAGGGACAGAAACACCTGTCTGTGGCTGTTTCTCTGTCTGTGACCAAGTAGGGCAGAGTCAAGAGAGGTGAGGAAAGGTGGAAGGGAGTGAAGCTCCCCGCTTCTTCTGTCACCTAGAGCCTGTCTTTTCCTTGTGAATGTGTGTAAACACTCCATCACTGAGCTGTGTCCCATCAGTACTTCAGCCACCAGGAAGCGGAGGGCAGGGTCTCAGCAGTTCTCAGAGAAAGTAGAAACTTCTTTTCCAGAGCAAATGATCGCAGTTTTCCTGCCATGGTCGGACAGACGCCAGCACTTACAGACGAGGCAGAGATGAAGGGTTTTACAGCTGGATCCATAGATTTAAAGTGGAGCTGCTCAATCCAGTGAGCCAAGGGCCTGGACCTTTGCTTTGACCACCAGGCACCACAAACTTATTGACCAATGTTGTTGGCCCCTGGGTCACCCACTGGGAGGAAAGATAAGCTTCAACTGTGTTTAGTGAGTTTGGGAGACCCATTGTATGCAGAATCTCCATACGCTAACCTCTGAACCTGTGGAGAGCTCCTTCCGTGGATAACCAGAATGAATTTCTCCCTGGCCTCTTGGCCTCACTGAGGGTAGGAGGGAGAGCTTTCGGAGGTCACCTGCTGCTTTGCTGGTTGCACACTTCTTTCCTCAGGTTAGAGGCAAGCAATTGGTATGTTTAGAACATAGGTTTGAAGTGTTGAAGGAATTCAGTGGTAACTGGGGAAACAGCCCTTCCGTCTTTGCAGTACAGTGGCTTCCAGCCTTGCCTTAGAAGTGCCCTTGGCACTGAGCAGTCTTTAGCCATGTGAGGTCCTGTGTCCTGGCGTAGAGAGTTCTGTGGGACGGTAGCCAGAACAATGCAGGTATTCTGTACAGCCCCCACGTGACGTCAACTAGTAGCGCTATCTGGACCGCATCCCTTTCATATCGTGTGAAGTTACATTTTTGTCCTTCTGAGAGACACCAGGGCCGTGCTAACGTGTTTGGGCACAGGACTGGTGGAGATTTGGTTGGGAAGGCAGGTAAAGATATTTGGTTAAGATTTTAGATGTTTTTTTTAATTGAATGGCCAAGCCATTGTTTATCTTCTGGCCATTTTGTCTCTTTACCTTTGACCATATCCATCTTTGTAGAATAAACGTGCTTCCAGCTGGAGAGGAAACAGAAATGAAAGGACTCCTTCTGTGTACATTCCGTGTTCCTGCTTACTCTTTCAGCACACACAGCATGCACGTACACAAGCTTCCCCCGAATCGGGGCTAGCATCTCCTCCTTTTGATCTCTTGATGTTGCACACTGACACTCAGTAACTCTATCTGTTTGAATCTCTGCTTGAAGCCGTTCCTTTGGACTCTGCTCCCAGAGATTATTTGAGTTGGCAGGTTGGAGTGAAAAGCCAATTACCCGCCGCTTCACCACTATCCATGGATATTAGCGCACATTGGGGTTTTTTCCATTTCCTACTCCACACACCCTCCCCCCCAGTTAGATCCATAATACTAACGTGAAACAGAAGTTAGGGGGGATGTACTCACGTCTCCAAGCTGTCAGAATGATCTATTCCCTCAGCCTGCTTCTTAAAACATTGTGAAAGTGCAAAGGGCTTTGGAGGTGAGGAACGTGAGCGAGAATCAGCAGACCTCACACTCACTCACACTTGTTAGGAAATGTCAGTGCAGAGGCCTCTCACTCTGAATGCTCCTTGCACGGTGATCTGTGGAGAAACTCCTCCATCCCGACGTGGTGCCAAGGCAAGCAGAGCAGGGTGGATGTGCAGAGGTGCAGGACTGTGAACCGGGATCTTAAAAGAAATACCAGCCAGTGAAGGATCCTCCTCGGTGACACTCGGTGGCGTTGAGTGACAAACCTGTCTTCTGCCTGCCTCTCTTGCAGTGGCCATCCCCGCCATCGGTGCCCAGTACTCCATGTTCCAGGCAGCCCCAGCCCCGAAGATCATCGAAGATGGCAAGATCCACACAATGGAACACATGATCAGCCCCATTGCCGTGCAACCTGACCCCGCCACTGCCGCCGCCGCCGCTGCCGCTGCTGCAGCCGCCGCCCATGCTGCTGTCATTCCTGCGGTGTCCACACCGCCACCTTTCCAGGTAGAGTTCTTGCCGTGGCCACTGTCTTTATATATCGAGCCTTTCTCGGTCATAGACTCATTAGTATTCAGCACTGAGAATATACTCTGTGTAATGATATTTTGAAAATAGTTAATGTGAAATAACAGGAAAAAAATGTTTAGCTCTAGGAAAATTTTTGTTTGTTTGTTTTATGTGTGTGTGTGTGTGTGTGTGTGTGTGTGTGTGTGTGTGTGTGTGTGAATGAGACCAGTATGGCTCAGCAGCTGGAAGTGCTGGCTTCCAAACCTGATGGCCTGAATTCAACCCCCAGAGCCCATGTGGTGGAAGAGAGAGACAGCTCTGAGCCCCCTCTACCTGTGCCCTGTGATGCACAACCTACCCCCCGCCATGCACATACACATAGGCACAACATATGTCTATATGGACATGTAATTCATGAGATTTTTTTTTTCCAAGATAGAGTTTTTCTGTGTATAGCCCTAGATGTCCTAGAACTTGCTCTGTAGACCAGGCTGGCCTTGAACTCACAGAGGTTTAACTGCCTCTGTCTCCCAAGTGCTGGGACTAAAGGCGCGTGCACCACCACAGCCCCAGCAATTCATGAGATTTTTAAAAAACGGAGTAGAGCCCTGGGTTTGGTCCTCAGCTCGGGGGGAGGGGGGGATGGGGGGGATGGGGGGGATGGGGGGGATGGGGGGACGACACAACAACAACAAAAAAACCCGGAGTAGATACAGAAAATCCTCCTCTCCTCCAGAATGTCTCACCCTGTGGTTGCCCTCTCTTTCCAAACTCGTCTTGTCTTCTTGCCCTTTGACCCCAGTTAGCTCATGGTCGCTGGCTCTCCTTCCCCTCATCGCTTCTGTCTCCCCTCTGCCTATCCAAATACCCTCTCCTGTGCCTCTCATCAGTTCAATATTCTGTGGCATAGGACTGCCAGTTTGTTCTTTCTTGGAAAGCTGCCCTCCAGGCCTAAGTGTCTTCGCTGTGCAGTACATGGGAAAGGCATTTTTGCTGAGCAGGAAAAGAAAAGTCTGAAAACTATTTCTCTCTGAATAAGTGAACCGTAAGTGGGAATGCCCCAGGTCTCTCAACTCTTTTTTTTTGGTTTTTCGAGACAGGGTTTCTCTATGTAGCTTTGCGCCTTTCCTGGAACTCACTTGGTAGCCCAGGCTGGCCTCGAACTCACAGAGATCCGCCGGCCTCTGCCTCCCGAGTGCTGGGATTAAAGGCGTGCGCCACCACCACCCGGCCTCTCAACTCTTTGAGTGAGAAGCATTCATGATGTGATCTTTGAACAGCAGAAATTCCTGTCTGTCCTAGAGTCCCAGAGATCACCTGTCATTTAAGTGGGACTGGGGTTCTAGGATCCATGTTTTTGTACAACTATCTTGATGATTTTTTGAATGGCCGGGCATCTGAATCACCTGCCCTTTCCTACTCTGATCTAAGTCTTGACTGCTTGGTTCAGAAAGGGTTAAACCAGTTGGAATTATTCACGCATGGGCATGTTACTAAGTAATTTGTTTCGAACTTAGGGCCTTTTTGTTTGTTTTTGAGATGGGGTCGAAAGATGTAGCCCCGACACACCCCACAACTCAAGACCTCTTAAAAATAATTTTTAAAAATGTCTCACAGTGTATAAACTTTAAGTGTAGAGGGTTGGAGAGACGGCTCAGCAGTTGGGAGTATGTACTGCTCTTTCAGAGGATATGAAACAGTATTACTATGTAGCCTTAGCTGGCCTCCACACACACTATATAGACCAGGCTTGCCTGGAATTCGCAGGAATCTGCCCGCCTCTGCCTCCCGAGTTCGAATTAAAGGTGTGCACCACCACACCAGGCCTTGACTAAGGGTGTTGATGACTTAATAAAGTCGTTCAGACAAGCCAGTAAGATCAGTGCCTGGAAGACCAGAGTCTCTTGGTTAGGCTTGTGATCATTACTGCGGCTATTTTTATTACAGTTAGAAAAAAGATTCTTAAATTAGAAGTTCTTTTGAACATAATTTTGTGAGTCTGATTTCTAGATATTGTGGTAGAGATAACTAGCTCCTTTATAAGAATCTAGGAATTCCAGTATTGGGGAGGTGGAGACCGGGAGATCAGGACTTGAGAATCATCATTGAGATACAGTTCATTGGAGGCCAGAATGCTCTACGTGAAACCCTGTCTCAAAACAATGGGGGGGGGGGGGGGGGGGGAGGATCTAGGAAGCAGCTGTGCCTGGTGGCACAGGCTGTAATCCTTGTCACTTGGGAGGCCAAAGCAGGAAGAATGAAAGTCCCAGGCTTGCCTGGGCTACAGAGCAAGTTCAAAGCTAGTCTTAGATCCTATCCCGGAATAAAAGGCTAAATGATAATAATAATAAAGCAGGAGAGAGCTGTATTGTTCATTTGCTTAGTATGGATGAGGTATCCCAGGTTCATTCCACAACACTGAAAAGGAAAACCTAGGAGGAGCTTGCTTTTTAAATGGAATTTTCCGTTTCTTGTATCCTAGATTACAAATTCTGATGGTGGTAGGGTAAGGCTAAGAGAAGAAACCAGCACTGAGTTCAGGTCATTCTGTGGAACATAAGGGACACCAAGTACTTTATTCACTGTGTGGTGTTTTATTTTTACCCTAAATCCATGGCACAGCCTTAGGTAAATGTTGACCCTCACAGTCTTGCTCCTCGCCATTAGTTATGGAAACTTGGTGTATTGCACTTTTAAACAGAAGGAGGACATCCCAGGAAGGGTTAGAATTAGTGTTCTTAGGGTAGATTCCCAGCACCCCCCTCCCCCCATTACCTCTCCTTGTGAACTGTCCGAATGCAATGGCCAATAGAAGATCCCAGCGGGTTACAGCTCCCGCGCAGCCTATAGCCTCCCCCTTTGGCACAGGTCTGAAGGCTGAATCTGAACACATCAAGTCCCTCGAAGATGACATTTTGCTCTGTCTAATCTCCTGCTTCAGCAAATGTCACTCTCCTTTCTGCCTCCCTACCTAGACCTCTTCTATCTGCCCCCCCATCTTTTCTCCCTCTCCTGGGGGTGCTCATCTTCCCCCCTCCCCCCTGGGGTGCTCATCTCCCCCTCCCCAGGGGGGTGGTCATCCTTCTCCTGTTCATCTTCTCTCTCTCCCCGCTGGGTGCTCATTGTTCGAGGAGATGATGAACCTGCCCATGCGCGCTCAGGAAGGATTTTTTTTTTCTCTCTCTCTCTCAGGGCCGTCCAATAACTCCTGTGTACACCGTGGCACCAAATGTTCAGAGAATTCCCACCGCCGGCATCTACGGGGCCAGCTACGTCCCCTTCGCTGCTCCGGCCACTGCCACGATCGCCACACTACAGAAGAACGCTGCGGCTGCCGTGTACGGGGGCTACGCCGGCTACATACCTCAGGCCTTCCCCGCTGCTCTCCAGGTGCCCATCCACGACGTCTACCAGACTTACTGAGACCCGGGACCAGAGCCAAGGCAAGCCACCAAACACCACTGAAGGAACACTTTATTATTTATGAAGAAGAACGTGTTGGATTGGCACACGTGCGAAACCTGCAAGTGAAGAATGTTGTCGAATATCACACTGAAATATTTTATATCCATGAAGTTTTCACTCTTTTTTTTTTTTAAAAAAAAAAAAAAAGACTTTTCAACTTAGCAGGCCCGCGTTCATACATTTCTAAGAGACTTGCAACGCCTCACGCCTTAATACCATCTTTTAAAATTTGTACTCTCAACTGCGTTTGTACAGAGGTTTGGTTTTGTTTTTTTAAGGATATATTTTCAGTATGAAGGTTATTTTCTTAACTTCTGCACTCCAGAGATTTCTATTTTGTAGAACCTTTCAAAAATATATCAGCTATATATATATATTAAAAAAAAAAAGCACATCCGAGCATCTAGGGAACTATTTTAAAAACTATATTCAATATTTAAAGATACAAACTGTAGTGCTTTGAAATGCTACGTAAAACCTTATTTTCAAAGGTGATGCTGGAAAGTGCAATTTCAAAATGAGTAAAAAAATCTCTGCTGTATTTCCACTGGCATTAAGGGTTGACGATATTGCCATGTATTCTCATCATGCTTTCTGGTTTGGGGGTTGTTTTGTTTCATTTTATTTTGTTAACAATCTGTCTTTAAGTCAACGTGGAAAAGACTCGTCACAGCCAGAGTCCCAACACTGGAGCGCTCTCACCTGTCCCCATTACCCTGTGACTTTGTTAACTATTTCACCTGTCCCCTCCCTCCTCCCCTCTCCCCGTCCTGTTCCCCCTCCCCCTTCCCCTTCCCCCCTTTCCTATCTCCAGTGCAACTTTGAAGTTTGGCATCTCTAAGAAAATCGGATAATTCTGATAAAGAAGCCAACTGATGCCTTTTATACTTCTTCCTGGGATTTTGTTGGGGTCTTTTGTTTTTTAGTTCGTTTGGGGAGGAGATATTACCTTCTATATGTGTTTTCAGTAGCAGAATACATGTAAGGACAAGATTTTACCATGTTTTCGTAAGGCATCTTTGCATAGCTATTTAACTGTTCAGTATGAAACTTTAACTTTCTAATGCTTTGGGTTTTTTTGGTTTTTTTTTTTTTTTTAAGTCTGAGTTTTTAGAGACGAAGAATGTATGTGATCACAGGCAGGACCGTCAAGATTTGCCAACAGGAAGTTAAGCCTCTAGCGGCCTTCTTGTGTGTCTTGCAGGGTGCCTGCTGTCATCAGGGGTGTTGGAAGCATTACATTGGTTCAACCAGGCTTCCCCCCCCTCTCGGTTGCCCTGAGTTTGGTAGATGAACATGGGGCACAAGCATCCCGGAGGAGGAGCGACCTGTAGGAGTCAAAGGGGGTGTGTGTAAATAACGTCCGATGCTTGCTTCTAGTCCTTTTTGTGTTGCCAAAGCTCATGGTGTGTAGTGTAATGCGAAACGCAGCTGTTTGATTTCAATATTATTCAAAAATGTTTGCTGTTTTTGCAAGACGTGAGTTAACAGAAGCGGTGTTCTCTGCCCATTTAAAGGCTTCCCTTTGGCAGAGTGAATGTGAAATACAGTGAAGTGCTAATATCATCATCTGTTTTATGAATTACATCAGCTCGCATCTTTTTAAAAGCCTCGATCAAGGACGTGAGGTGTGCAAGCAGGTGCACAGTCAGATAGACAGTTGTATTTTATGTCATAACAGAGACCATCAAATCTTTCTTCCCACCAGAGTTTGGCTAATAGGCCTAACTCTTATTTGTGGATTAATACCAGGATCATGTCCTTAGCCATTGCTCTTCGATAGCTGTTCAATTTTTTTCCCTCTTCTTTTAAATTAAGAGATTCCCAAACGTCTTCTTTTTTTCCCCCTTCTCTTGAGGAGATGAATTTTTATGTATAAGGAATATTTATTAAGCTAGTCTATAAAATCGCTGAGTGCCTGCCAAGGCCTTGAAGCATTCCTCTCTATCCTGGCTGAATGGCGTAAAGTAGCTATGCAACGTGAGGATTCACCCAGGAAGTTGCACCCACACGGAGGACGTGTTGGGATGAGTGACTCCAGAAAAGGCAGCTCCTATCAGGTCCTCCTCCCTTGACTTGTGGGAAAGACGTGCCTAGGACAGTCCCAGAGGTCCTCCGATGAAACACTGACCCCATGTTCTTACTGTATTTTACAAGTGCCGGGAAAATATTTGCAAAACAAAACAAAACAAAAAACCTAATAATAATAGTAATAAAAGGAAAAAATGCACTATCTTAATGTGGCAACTACCTTAAAAACAAGCATTGGTGGCAGCCGGGTAAGCATCAGCGACCTTGCTGTCTGTGGTCCCGCCTACCCTACTGTTTCACAACCATTTCATGTACACTACTGAGGTAAGTTTATAACTTGAAATGTGAACTTTTTTTTTTTTTTTAGGATTAAGAACAAACTAATATAAATGTTTTTAAAAGTTTTAAAGTTTTAGACATGCTCCTAGTTTAGTTTTTAGCTTCGGGTTGGAAAAGCTTTTTGGATCTCGCTGCATTTACAGTACATTCTTGAGATGTATGTGGTAAATAAAGCTTTCTTTAAAGCAGTTTCCGGACTTCCTTTTCCTTTAAAAAGAAATCTTACAGCAACGAAGGGTCTGACGAATTCTGTATTCTCAGTTGGGGACGCTCACAACTGCTTGTCGCTTCAGCCTCAGGGGATAAGACGCTGCTGGCCTTGAACTCAGAGAACTACCTGCCGCTCGCTGCCTCCTAAGGCCTGAGGCAGGTGCCGCCACCACCCCCTTTTTGTTTGTTTTTGTCAATAGTTTATTTTTATTTTGTGTGCATTGGTATTTTGTCTGCATGTATGTCTGTGTGAGGGTGTTGGATCCTGGAGTTGCGCAGACAGTTGTGAGCTGCCATGTGGGCGCCGGGAACTGAACCCTGGTCTTCTGAAAATGTAGCACTCACCCTTATCTATCTCTAAGTCATCTCTCCAGTCCCACTGCTATTAAAAAAAATTTTTTTTTTAATTCCTTTGCTTGTTTGTTTAAGACAGGCTCTTCTGTAGCCTAAGCTGGCCTTGAACCCCTGATGCTCTTCCTTCTGCTTCCTCCGAGCTGGGATTAACATCACACGTGGGTTGGGCAGTGTTTCTAAAGACAGGACCTATTGTCCTTGTTCAAGGAGAAAAGTGCTCCTACCCTCAGAGTCATGCTCGGGTTCCGAGGGACCTGCTCGGGACAGCTCAGAGCCGTGCAGAGCGGCACTGTGTGTCTCCTAGCTGTTCCAGGCTTGATTGTAGCAGCTGCAGGCTTGCCCCTTAACACTGGTGGGGCTGCCCTTCCGAGGGAGAGAACAGAAAGGGGGCCACATCGGGTGAGGATGGATAAGATAAGGACCCCCCTTCTCCAGCTTCCGATGCCTGGTTGATCACGTGATAAACAGAGAGCCGGGTGTGACAGATGGTGACTAGCTGAGGTCACAGAGCTAGTGAGTCGCCTAGACTCCATTCCAGGCTCCTCTCTAGGGAAGAGAAAACAAGCTGGTCTGGTTTTGCCTTGTACTGTGGTTCCCTGTGCAGCTTGGGGAATGGGGCTGGAAGATGGGGTGTTTGGAAGGAAGCTCTTGCTTCCCCTCAAAGGGAGAATAACATAAGGTAGGCTGGGAAAGCTGTTTATAAGATTCAAGGAATTCTAGCCACAAGCCATCCCAGAGATTACGGCAGAGACTCACCACAGTATCATGGGAAATCAGCTACACTCTCCTGTGTTTGTCTGATCATTTGATGCTAGGGATCAAACCCAGGGCCACAGACACAATCTAGCTCTATAAGCCAGTCTTCAACTACGTCCTGAGTGGTTGGTGGAGGTTTTGGTTTGTTTCAGTTGTTTAGTATTTTGGGGTTTGTGGGGTGGAGATGTTGTTGTTGTTTGAGACTCAAGAGGTAGACCAAGCTGACCTGCATAAGCTCAGGCTGGTCTCAGACTTATTATCCTCCTGCCTCAGCTTCATGGGCTCTGGGATCACAGGTGAGGACCACCATGCCTGGCTCTTCTCTGGTTTTCAATTGAACAAGTACTCTCTGGGCTGGAGAGATAGATAGCCCGGTGGTTAAGAGCTCTTGCTGCTCTTCCTGAGGACCCAGGTTCAATCCGGCACCCATACACAGGTGACATACATTCACACAGACACATAAATAAAAATAAAAATATTTTTGAAAAAATTAGCTGGAGTGACAGTTCAGTGGTTAGAAACATAAATAAATCTTTTGAAAAAGAATAGGTATTCTATAAATATCTGTCAAAAATATACATAAAGTACTTATTTAGTTAAAAGTCAGAATAATTAGCATCGTCTAGTTTTCCTGTATAAAACCTCAACTGCTGGGTGGTGGTATTTTTATTGTAAAGTTTTCTGGACACTCAGTTTTTCTATCAAAATTATTTTTATTTATTTATTTTTTTTGTGGGGGAGGATGGTTTGAGACAGGGTTTCTGTGTAGCCCTGGCTGTCCTGGAAAAAACCTGCATAAGCTCAGGCTGGTCTTGTTCCACTCTTTGATATAGGTCCCGTTTCTGAGCCCCAAAGTCAGAGGGAAGTGTGGATTTAATAAGGAAGAAGACTGCTTTCCTTCAATTCAAAGGTCTAAAGCAGTGGTTGTAAGTTGCTGTATGGGTGCTGGATGTGGGTCGAGACCACTTTGGCAGCCCTCTGTTTCCAAAAATATCTACAGTATGATTCATAGCAGTAGCCCAGTTACAGTTATGAAGGAGGAACGAAACTGATTTTGTAGTTGGGGTCATCACTATGTGAGCCGCTGTATTAAAGGGTCGCAGCGTTAGGAAGGTTGAGAACCACTGGAAGGCATCACACTACAGAGTCCTTTTTCTTGCTTTCTCCTGTCCCCTCCCCTTGACTAAGTGCCCAGTGCTGCTCTGGGTTCAAATTCCTCACGCTACTAAGCGTAGAAAACTATTACTCAGACACTTCCCTTTACAAACGGGCTCAGTGTCACCCAGAACAACTTGGATGTCTAATCAGAATGCCTGGGGGAACTCCCACCCAGCTTTGCTTCTTACCAGTCACATGACCTTGAAGAAAAAAATCCTTCCAGTCATGTGATCTTGGAAAAAAAGATCACCTGACCTCATAAGGTTATAATGAGTTGACAAATCTTAAAAGCCTGATGTGTTGTAGGCATGTTTTTGTATGACTATTTCCATCCTTGACCCCCATTTACCCCAACCCCATACACACACTGCACCCCATCACTGGGAGTTGAACCCAGGGCCTCACACACTAAGCAATTGCTCCACCACAGAATTACAGACCCAACTCTTATGTTTTGAGAAGACAGGCTCTAGTTTGCACAGACTGACTTTGAATTTACTCAGTAGTCCAGACAGGCTTAGATTCTCAATCCCCCTGCCTCAGCTTCCACAGTAGCTAGGATTACAAACTCCCTTATAGGTCTGAACCCTAGTACGAACATATTCCTCTGTATGTGACCCCTTCAACCTTTCCATGGGAAGCTTGAACTGCCTTTCTTGTTTTGGTTTTTTTGTTTCTTTGTTTGTTTTGTTTTTTGCTGGGCCCTCACACATGCTATGAAAATACTCCATCTCTGAGTTACATCCACAGCCTGAGTCTTTTCATTCTTTATTCATATTTATTGAGTGCCAACTCTGTTCGTGCAGAAGGAAAGACTGGAGTCAACAAAATCGACCCTCTGCCTCCCAGCACTC